GCTCCAGGTTGTGGAGGGAATGGCGAATCCGATCCTGAGAACACAAAGGAAATCTTATAGATCAGTGATGGCGATCCTTTTTGTTGTGGTGTGCCAAAAGCACGCGTGTGTGTGCCAGCACCCAGAATGCAATGCCCTCCCTGGGCATGCGCATGCAACACCCCCACCCTGCTCTCTTACCTGCACTCTGCGTGCACACGCCTCCCAACTGTTCTTTGGGCCGTTTGAGGCCATTTTCTCCCTCCCAGAGGCTTGAGGGAAGCCTCTGCAGCCTCGAGAGGCCGAAAAACGGGCCCGTTTCGGCACTTCTGGTATTTTCAGAAGGCCTGTTTTATTGGCTTCCCAAGGCTGCAGAGGCTTCCCTCGAGCCTCCGGGAGGGAGAAAACTGTCTCAAACGGGCCACCTGTGGCACGTGTGCCATAGGTTCGCCATCGCGGTTATAGATGATTAAGGGACTGGATACGGTGAACGGTTGCAGAAACTGGACTTGGCTAGTCTAGTGAAGAGAAGGACCAGGGGAGACAGGACAGCCGTCTTCCAATATTTGAGGGCAGGGGTTTGGACTAGATGACCTACAAGGTTCCTTCCAACTCTGTTGGCCAGGGGAGACAGGATAGCAGCCTTCCAATATTTGAGGGGCTGCCACAGAGAGGAGGAAGGGGTCAAACTATTCTCCAAGGCACCTGAAGGCCAGACAAGGAATAATGGGTGGAAACTGATCAAGGAGAGATTCAACCTGGAAATAAGGAGGAATTTTCTGATAGAGAGACCAATCAACCCATGGAACAGAAGTTGTCTTTAGAAGTTGTGGGAGCTTTCAAGAAGAAACTAGACTGCTATCTGTCAGAACCTGATGTAGGGCAGTGGTGGGATTCAAATTTTTTTACTACCAATTCTGTGGGCGTGGCTTGGTGGGCGTGGCAGGGGAAGGATACTCTAAAATCTCCAGTCAGAGGTGGTATTTGCCGGTTCTCCGAACTTCTCAAAATTTCCCCTAATGGTTCTCCAGAACAGGTCAGAACCTGCTAAATACCACCTCTGGTGTAGGGTCTCCTGCTTGGGTGGTGGGTTGGACTAGATGACCTACAAGGTCCCTTCCAACTCTGTTAATCTGTTATCAAACTACAAACTTCAAGATGCTCTTTAAAAACTAATTTCCTTATACCATACTAATTTAACAACCGCAGTGATTCAGTGAGGAAACGTGGCAGGAAGAGTTGTAAAACGGGCAAAACTCACTTAATCAATGTCTCACTTGGCAAGATACATTTTGGGCTCAGTTGTGGTCATAGGTTTGAAGATATATTCTCTTATGCTCCAGCTAGGACAGAGGTCTCCAAACTTGGCGACTTTAAGACTTGTGGACTTCAACTCCCAGAATTCTCCAGCCAGCATATGCTGGCTGGAGAATTCTGGGAGTTAAAGTCCACAAGTCTTAAAGTGGCCGAGTTTGGGGACCCCTAAGCTAAGATTTCAGGATTTTTCAATCTTCCCTTCGCACCATTTTCAGATATTACCTCTTCGCGCTGATTATGAACTTGAGCCGAGACGCCTACGAAATCCGGCTCCTGATGGAGCGCGAGACCAGCGCAAAGTCCCAGAAAGGAAGCTGCCGGAACGGCAGATCTGGCCCGGGAGACGACCATGGCTTCCAGCAGCTGGCCCTGAAGCTGAAGGTGCAGCTCGCTCTCCTGGCCCAAGTGCTCCGGAACAACCCTCCCCTCCTCCTGGACGTGATGAAAAACGCCTGTGACATTTTCATTCCCTTGGACAAGCTGGGCCTGTACAAGAGCAGCTCTGGTTTCGTGGGGCTCTGTGGCCTGACCTCCTCCATCCTTTCCATCCTCACCATCCTCCACCCGTGGCTGAAGCTGAAACCTTGATCGGTGCCAAGAGGCTACGCCGAGCTCCTTCCTCTCCTGAACTTCCCCCTTGCGGAAACTAGCTTGGGGGGTGCTAATAACATGGCAGACTCTGCCAGCCAGGCGCTGCTTGGGAAGCAGAAGTTCCTCCGAGCTTTGGAGAAAGGATGGGAGACCCTTCTTTCTGCACTCTTTAAATTGAACCCAGCAGGTTGACAAACAACTGTGGGAATGGCCCTGGTGGGGAGCCTTTAGTATTGGGGGTTATCAGGCCAGGGGTAACTGGAGCATCAGTCTTGTCATGTCTTATTTATTTAGGAAGAAGCAAATAAAATGAAAAATACACTAGCCACGTTGTAGGTTAATAAAGATCTTCCTGGCAGATAGGACACAGTTATGTGGCTTCTCAGCTAGAGACTGGGGAGAGTGCAGGGGTCACCAACCTTTCAGACCTCAAGGACCACTACATTCATAATTTTAAATCCCGCGGACCACTAATATGATTTTTTTAAAAAAAATAGATAAATAGTATTTAGTGCAATATAAAAATGCAAATAATTTTGTCACGGACCACTGGTTGGTGACCACTGCAGTAGTGGGGTCCTACCTTAGTCGCTACTGGTTTGGTGGGTGATTGCACGCGCACCCCTAACAAGCCAATCAGTTGAGAGAACGAAGAAAGGAAAAGCTAGGAGTGACCCTTCCTTCCATGCGCTTTTCTGTCTTTTATCCTGTCCCTAAGTCTTGTTTTCCACCTCTCAGCTGATCGGAAGCTTAGCTTTTCTTTTTTATTACTGGTTCGGCTGAACCAGTCCAAACCGGTAGCATACCATCCCTGGGAGAGTGGCAGAAACAAGTTTGTTCCCCGTGTTCAGGGGCTTTTGGCTTTTAATAGTTGGGACTGGACAGAGGTTTGAGGACGCGAACAATATTTGGACACTAGACTGACTCACATTTGTTAATGGGGATATACGACTTAACAGATTAACGTTGGGATCTATGACACTATTTACTCATGGCAAATTATTTCCCTTCCTCAAAATAAAAAAAGCATTTTTAAATAAAGGTAACCCCTGAAATTTAAGTAGTTAAGAGTCAAATGTAAGCAGGGTTTTTTTCCCCTCATAGTTTTTATTTTTATGAGTGTTGGTAACAATAAGTCCAGTTGTCATGCCTGAATTTCCAAGACAATTCTACCTGGGTGACTGAAAATCTTCATCGACATACTTGTAGGATACAGGTAGACCTCGACTTACAACAGTTCATTTAGCGACCAAAGTTACAACATGCCTGAAAAAAGTGATGTGTCATTTTTCACACTTGCGACCGTTGCAGCCTCCCCCAGGGCCACATGATCAAAATTCAGACATTTGGCAACTGACTCATACTTACGACGGTGGCATCGTCCTGGGGTCATTTGATCCCCTTTTGCGACCTTCTGACAAGCAACATCAATGCTGGATTCACTTAATCATGATAGTACCTTTAAGAACGGCAGCGATCCACTTAACCAGGTGTCACGGTTTTAAGTAACACACCCAACAGAATCAAAACGCCAAGGCAGGCACATTCCTCAAAGCATAGATTTATTAGGCATGTCATTGGCACATCTGGGGATACCCAATTCTGGAATTTTCTTTCCCCTGCCCATGTAGTCGGTCACACGGTCCAATCAGGCCACAGTCCAAGGGTCACTTCGTCTCATATCTCACCTCCTTATACCTGGTGTGAAAGTCCTTGGTTCTCAGAGGGAAGAATTTTATTTTGGCTACAATCCCCCTGCTGCCCTGTTTCCCCAAAAATATGACCTACTTGAAAGCAAGTCCTAGCTTGATTTCTTTTACATGTGTGCCCAATATAAGCCCTACCTCCAAAATAAGCCCTAATTATGATCCCGCCCACTCCAAAATTAAGCTTGGGGGGAGGTGAAGCTGCCCTACTACTTACCTTTGGACAGTTGTAGCCAGGCCTTGCACACCATGACACCTGCCTTGCCAGCCCATTTCTTCTGCAGCTGGCAAGGCTTTCCTGAAGGCCTCTGTAGCTGGTAACAAAGCTCTGGATCGATCCAGAGCTCCATTATCCCCTGCAGAGGTCTTCAGGAAAGTCTTGCTGGCTGTAGAAGTTCCTAAAGGCTTCTGACAGCAAAAAGGGGGCCGGGGGCGACGCGCGCAAGTGAGGTAAGTCAGTGGAGGGCATCCCCCGAAAATAAGACCTGGTGCCTTTTTTGGTGGCCAAAAATAATAAGACAGGGTCTTGTTTTCGAGAAAACACGGTATATCTACTTCCCCCCCGTCCTGTTCCCACAGCTCGACTCACTTTGCTGTGGCAGCCCTGAAAGTGCCAGGGGGAAGGGGAATGGCTCCAGGACTGACACTGGGTTACTAATTGAACAACTGCCACAATTGCCTTAACTGTGGCAGGAAAGGTCATAAAACGGCGGGTTTCGCATGCTTTACAGCTCTTACAGTGGCCAAGCTGTTGTGGTTTGTCGGCAGCCTGTGCAGACGGCAGCGGACTCGGACAGTGGGGAGAAAGGGAACCAGTCAGAGAGTCTGGCGAGGACTCAGACGAGGGTCTTCCATCCAATGCAGAGATGGGGCCAGGACCATCTGGGAGTGGGGTGCTGCCTCTGGAGTCTGGCAGCAGCGAGGCAGAGGAGCAAGGGGAGCCTGTGTTCAGTGTGCGTATGTGCAGAGCTGCTAGAAGGCAAGAGCAGCTGAGACAAAAGGGGGCGACTTGGGAGTAAGGCTGGGAGGTGATTGCCCCTCCCAGAAGGTATAAAGGACAGGCAAAGGTAGAGAAAGCTTTGCAGGAAGCAAAGTCGTTCGCTCTGTTTGGATTAATCCTTGAAGCTCTGTGTGGACTTTGTACTGGTTGGTTTTTTTATAGTTCATTTGGCATTTCTGTTGTTGGCAGCACTTCACAGGAAAGAAAGGTGGGTGTTTATCTCGAAGGACTGCTTGGGACTCATTACCATCTAGGAATGAAAATAATTCCCAGCATTGAAAATAAAACGAGTTGTTTTAACTGTGTGTGCTTAATTATGGTCTCAGGAAGCCTTGGTCAGGACACAAGTATCTGATTTTTTGATCATGTGACCATGGAAATCCTGCTACGGTTGTAAGTGTGAAAAACTCTCATAACGGTCCCTTTTTTTCAGTGCCGTTGTGACTTTGAACGGTCGCTAAATGAACTGTTGTAAGTCGAGGACCAACTGTAATGTAAACTCCAGGGAAAGGCAAAAACTAAGACTTCTTATCTTTTGGCAACTGAACCATGACTCGAGCACAGATTTCCCCTGGAATCCATAGCAAAACCAAGAATTTTTTGATTGCTGGAGCTAAATATTGCCAAGTTAACTCGAGAGGCATCGGGTGGACCCTGGAGTGCTGCCCAGGGAATTGGTCCTCGCGTTTTGAGCATCCTTGGCCGCTCAGAGGGACGACATGTTTAGCCACTGCCGGAGGGCGTACTTGGTCCCGGTGCTGACACACTCCACGTTTTCCCCTGGTGCCGTGGCCAGGAAGGCGGCGGTTGGGATCACCAGGGTCTTGGCTGAGCCCTTCTCCAGTTTGATGATGCTGCTCAAAATGGGAAACAAGATGCCCAAAGACCTTTATAAATGTGGGGAAGGGGACCAGCCTGCCCCCTGTCTCCTCCACCCCAAGTTTCTTGCTAAGAAGAGAAGAGATCCGTCAAAGAAGCAATGGGTGGAAACTAATCAAGGAGAGAAGCAACCTAGAACTAAGGAGAAATTTCCTGAGTGTTAGAACAATTAATCAGTGGAACAACTTGCCTCCAGAAGTTGTAAATGCTCCAGCCCTGGAAGTTTTTAAGAAGAGACTGGAGAACCATTTGTCTGAAATGGTATAGGGTTTCCTGCCTAAGGAAGGGGTTGGACTAGAAGATCTCCAAGGTCCCTTTCCATCTATTCTTTTCTATTCTGTTCTGTTCTATTCTACTCTGTTCTACTCTGTTTCTCCAACAATACCCCCCCAATAGGAAGACCCAGCATGTTTTCTAGGCATAAAATGAAATTAAGCCCCTCCCCCCAAATTTAGACCTAGTTTAAAATATGCAAAATTGGGGGGGAGGGGTAACTTGCCAGTAGGAGTGCCCCGCGGGCAGCTACGCCTCACCATCAGGCGCTCCTAACACCATAGTGGAGCACGGAGGGCTCCCTTACCCCTCCCTTACCCAGATCAGCAGGTGGGCGGCGTCGGCGTGGATGTCCGGCAGCATTTCAACTGCTTCTCAGGCCTCTGTAGCTTCCACGGTTCCCACCGGTGCTGGCGCCTCTCTCGCCAGCGCCATCTCCAACAACAGCGTCTGAGTCGCTCCCGCTTTTCCCCCGTCCCCGTAACAACAGGAAAAAACGAAAAGATTTTGAGGTACCTGGGAGCACCGCGCGCTGCATTTTGGTTTAATCCCGAGCGGCTGGGTGGGCGTGAGAAGAGCTGAGCGAGCATCTCTGCTGCCGTTACCCTTGGTCTTCCAGCCTCGGGCTCTGCAAGTTTGCAAAAGTCCCGGTGCAGCAGCCCGTTCCTGCATTCCAAGCGCCCAGGGCGAGCTGCAGCTGTCCCTCTCTCGCCAGCGCTGTCTCCAACAACAGCGGCAGCAGTGGCGGGAACCGTGGAAGCGTTTCAGCCGCTTCTCGAGTGGGGGATCCGCCTCCGTAACTTCCGCAGTTCCTGCCGCTGCAGCCGCTGTTATTGGAGACGGCGCTAGCGAGAGAGGGACAGCTGCCGCTCAGCCTGGGTGCACCGGGACTTTTGCAAACTTGCAGAGCCTGAGGCTAGAGCACCAACGGTAACAGCAGCAGAGACGCTTGCTCGGCTCTTCTCACGCCCACCCAGCTGCTCGGGATTAAACCAAAACGCAGCGCACGGCGCTCCCAGGTACCTCAAAATCTTTTTTTTCCTGTTGTTACGGGGACGGGGGGAAAGTGGCAGTGATTCAGATGCTGTTGTTGGAGATGGCGCTGGTGCGCGGGGGGAGGGGGAGAAATTAATTCACCCCCGAAAAGATGTCCTAGCCGTTTTTTCGGGGCTCAAAAAAAAAAAAAATAAGGCCCGGCCTTATTTTGTGAGAAACACGGTATTCTCTTATCTCTTATTCCATTGCATTCCATTTTCTATTATATATTCTATCCTGTTCTATTCCTATTCCTATGCTAGTTTGACCCCACAATTGTTCAAACGAGGAATAAGCAGCTATTAATTCAACAGAGGTCTTAGTTTGCATGACAATAGAACCATCATATATTTAATGATTTTCTAAATGTAAACTGAATGGTTAAAAAAAAGGCCATTTCTCTGTGGAAGTTTCAGAAATGATGAGCTAAGGCAGAAAGAGGAGAGAACTTTGGGCCATCTCCTCGTCGAGATGGCGAGACAAATCTTTAGTTCTTTAGCCAGCCAATATGAAGGGGAAGCTATTCAGAATATTATTGATTGAAAAGCCTTAAATAATAATAGCCCTTTTCTTAGCTAAATGAAAGAGACTGATTTTCCCGAGAACCCTCTACCAAAGAGAAGGAACAAATCATGATGGACCAAACTAGGTTTCCTTCAGCCAGTTTATGAGGACCAGAGATCCACAATCCCCCGGGCTGTGGGCCAGTACCGGGCCATGGCCTGTTCATGGGTTGCTTGTGTGAAGCTCCACTCGTACAAGCGGAGGGCACTTGTGCTCGCTTGCGAAGCTCCATTCATGCAAATGTGGCTTCGTGCATCAACACAACCGCCCTCCATTTGCGTGACGAGCTTCATGCGTGAATGCCAGCACCTTCCGCTCACGCACGAAGCTTCGTTTGCGCAAGTGGTGGGCGCGTGTCACTTGTACACACGGAGCTGTGTGCGTGAATGCCTACCACTCACACCTTGGGCCGGGCTGCCAAGCTGGAAAGGTTCGGGACTACTGGACTACACCCTTTGCTCTTGCTTTAAAAAGAGGCGAAGAGCCAAGTGTTGTGGCCTGTTGGCTGCTGGCCCCTCCAGGAGCCGAATCAGAGGAGGAGGAAGAGTGGGAGTTGGGGTCAGCATCAGGGCAACCTGAGAGCTCCGAGAGGGAAGAGGGAATGGAGCTGGCAGAGAGAGAGAGAGGGAAGCGGAGCCTGGGCCGTCCATCAGGCCTCAGATGGAGAGCCAACAGCTCCCAGGTCTGGAGGTGGCTGATGAGGAAGAGGAGGAACAACTGCATCCAGTGCCTGACGCTTGGATGCACCGAAAGCAGAGGAGAGGAGAGCAGTGGAAATCTATGGGCCGGTCTTTGGGACAGAACAGCCACCACTGCTAGCAAAGCCCCACCTTAGCTCTGGGGATCAAAGGCAGGGGGAGGAGATGAACAGGTGTGGCAGACAACTGTTCATCTCCCGGACGGACGGACTTGTTATTCTGCGGTGAGAGAGACACTTTTTGGGGGGTTGCCGATGCTCCTAATAAAGGATTCTTTGAGTTCACTTCAGAGGGTTTGTCGTGTTTGGGGAGCTGGGTCAGAACACCGGGATGCTCTTCCCTGCCACCTACCTGACAGTGGACGGTGCCTCCCTGCCCACCCCTGGGGCCTCGCCTTCTGCTCCATCCTCTGTAGCCACAATGGATGCCAGGGTGAGGCGGTCCAGCCAAGCCACAGCGGAGACCTCGGCTTCATTGGGCTTCAGCCTGGCCTGGCAAAAGATCTGGATCAGTATACAATTCAGGCAGGCTCCCCCCAACCCATTCTGCAGCATCAGTTCCCCTTCTTGGGTTCCTCCAAGAACCAAAAAGGCCATTGATTCGGCTGTGCACGAGCTCCTGCCAGTGGCAGCCCAACTGGGAGAGTGCAAGAGAACCATTACAATCTAGTCTCCATGTCTTTTGAACAACATGGTCTCCATTCTCATGTGTTGACATTCCTCCCTTCGACCGTAAGAAATTTCCCCAAAATTACAAACTCTTAATTAAACATTAAATTTGAGAAGCAGCTCTGGAGCTTCAGGCTTGGCCTGTTAGTAAACCCCAGGGAGATCGTGGCTTAGGCATCAAACCATGATTCAAATAAGAGGGCTTTAAGAAGAGGTGGAGGCAATTTGCCATGATCTTCAAGTCACTGAGGCTGGCCTCACTTTGGGCTGCTCAGTCTCAGCCCAGGCTACCTGGCAAGGCTGTTGTGGAGTTAAATTAAGGGAGACCCCAGTCCATGTCATCTCAGGCTCTCTGAGGAAAAGTCAAACCAATTGGGGATTAATGCCAGGAGATGTGGTGGCACAGTGCTTAGAATGCAGTACTGCAGGCTACTCTGCCCACTGCCAGAAGTTTGATTCCTGTCGGCTCGAGGTTGACTCAGCCTTCCATATCCTTCTAAGGTCAGTTAAATGAGGACCCAGATTGTTGGGGGCCAGAGGCTGACTGTAAACCGTTTAGAGAAGGCTGGAAAGCATTGTGAAGTGGTATATAAGTCTGTGTTATTGCTATCTTCCTTCCTTCCTTCCTTCCTTCCTTCCTTCCTTCCTTCCTTCCTTCCTTCCTTCCTTC